GGACGTGGCCGTGTACTTCTCCCCGGAGGAGTGGGGGTGTCTGCGGCCCGCGCAGAGGGCCCTGTACCGGGACGTGATGCGGGAGACCTACGGCCACCTGGGCGCGCTCGGTGAGGCCCCGGGTCAGAGCCCCCCTCCTTCACCGGGGTTCACAGGGGAGATGATACGGAAGGACCGAGGGGACAGTGAGCCCTAATCCTGCACTATCCCACCAACAGCATCAGCCGCCTCCCATTCCCAGGGCTCAGGTACCTCCTCGGGAGTGTTTCCATCCCGCACCCGCTCATTCAGGCAGGAGCACTGCAGACCCTGTCCAAGTTGAGTCTAAGTTCTGAGGAGGTGCCCTCACCCTGGCAGGGGGATGCCATCTCCCCAGGATAGCCGCTCAGGCCGGCACTGTGATCCCTGTTCTCTCCCAGGATTCCCAGGCCCCAAACCAGCCCTCATCTCTTGGATGGAACAGGAGAGTGAGGCTTGGAGCCCCGCCGCCCAGGATCCTGAGGAGGGGGAAAGCCTGGGAGGAGCTCGGAGAGGTGAGGGATGGTCCCAGGTCTCCCCCAACTTGGTTTTCCAGGGCTTCCTGTCTAGCAGAGTTTTCTTTCAGGCCCCCACTTCCAGCATCCCTACAGAAACTAAAGAGCCAACCCGTGTTGGATACTCGAAGAGGAAAAAAGGCAGAGCTGGTGCAAAGTTTTCAGAATGTTGAGACCAGAATAGGAGATCTGGACCCCAGGTCCAAGATGCTTAGGTTTCTAGGTCTTTCTCATTTTCTTTCGTTCAGGAACAACTAAAACTCCCTAAGAATGGAAGTGCTTTCAGGTCTGTCTTTCACATCCCTCAGACAAGGCAGAGTGGTACAAGGAAGAATGCCCAGTAAGTGACAGCTTGGCACTTCTCCCCTCACCATCCCCCAGTGGAGCGATCTTGGGCAAATATGTTTCTTCATCTGTAAAACAGTCTTACCTTACAAGAAATGAAGAAGCCACACTAATAATAGCTACTGCTTATTGAGCATTTACTAAATGTTTAACATGTGTCTACTCAGCTAATCCTCCCAACGATCCTGGAAGTCAAGAAACCATTATTGTTCCCATTTGACACATGAGGAACCAAGGCCCTTAAGAGACTGTTTACTTTTCTCCAAAGGCTGTGTGTTCATCACTGGGCAGTATTTTTCTGGCACTGCCTTAAGCGAAAAGCATCCTGACACAGTCTATGCAAAAGTGTTTTAAAATGTAACTTAATTCTATTTCCCAGGAGATGCCCTAAACAAGAAGGAAGAGGAACCCAAGAAAGGACCAGCAGGCAAAGGACCTGGAAAAACTTCTGGGAAGGAGCGGCCTGAAGAGCTGGCTAAACACAACCCTGACTTGACTATTAGCATGGGCCCAGCAAGAACACAGCTACCCACGAAAGCTGCTTGGGACCAGATCACAGGTGCACAGCCTCCTGTTCCTGTGCCCAGCGTGGATTCTCAGGCCAGCCAGCGGCGCCATGTGTGTGCAGACTGTGGCCGCCGCTTCACCTACCCGTCGCTGCTGGTCAGCCACCGGCGCATGCACTCAGGTGAGCGGCCTTTCCCCTGCCCCGAGTGTGGCATGCGCTTCAAGAGGAAGTTCGCTGTGGAAGCACACCAGTGGATCCACCGCTCCTGCTCTGGGGGGCGGCGGGGCCGGAGGCCTGGGATCCGGGCTGTGCCTCGGGCCCCGGTCCGAGGTGATAGGGACCCGCCTGTCCTCTTCCGGCATTACCCAGACATCTTTGAGGAATGCGGCTGAATGACTTTCACAGGCTGGAGATGAGCCTGACCTTGGTACTAGGGACTGCCTGAGCCCAGAGGTAGGCTCCTGAGTCAGGGCCTTGGGAACTGAAATTCATTCTTTGGGCTTCCCTCAAGGATCTTTCAAGTCTTCAACTTGTAAAAAGAAAAGTGCCTGTAAAGATGCAAATAGATTAAATTTGCCAACCCCTCTCCCCAGTCTTTTGTAAAAAAAAAAAAAAAAAGAAAAAAAAAAAAGAGTGAGACACTGAACTTCTTTCAAAGTGTTATCTCAGTGTCAGGTGCCACAGAGATCTTTCCATCATCTCAGGAAACACCCGCTTCTCCTTATCTACTTCACAGGCAAATGCTGAGGGGGCCCAAGGCCTAGGGAGGAGACCCAGATGGAGGGCATAGTCAAGCCCTAACTAACTGTCACCAGTCAGAAGTCAGGGAAATGGAATGGGTGGGAAGAGTATTGATGCATGTGGCATAAATCTAGTCACTGCAATTTGCCCTAAGGCACAACTGGTAAGTCATATGCCCTCCCTGAGCCTCAGTTCCCTCATCTGTAAAATGAAGATGAATAATGCCTACCTCAAAGGGTTACTGTGAAGACTGAATTTTTAACAAGATGTATGACATAGTAAATGTGCAATAAACATTTGTTGAAAGTGAATTATTGTCGACATTTTACACTTTAGGAAGAGTAAATGGCCGGGCGCAGTAGCTCACACCTGGAATCCTGGCACCTTGGGAGGCTGAGGCAAGAGGATTGCCTGAGTCCAGGAGTTCGGGACCGACCTTTGCAACATAGCAAGACCTCATCTCTAAATAAAATAAAATAAAATAGATAAAAGAAGCCTACTGAGGCGGCGAGGTATGAATATCAATAAGCATGTTTTGCAGATAAGTAAACTGAGTCTCAGAGAGATGAAGTGATGCTCTTAAAGTTTCACTGCAATATGGCGGCAAGGCTGGAAACTGACATTGTTTCAGGAACAACTAAGCTCCCCAAGAATGGAAGTACTTTCAGGCTTTCTTCTTTTCCTTTTTATTTGTGTGTGTGTGTGTGTGTGTGTGTGTGCGCGCACGCGTGAGTGTGAGACAGGGTCTCACTCTGTTGCCCAGGCTGAAGTGCAGTGGCACAATTCTGGCTTACCATAGCCTTGACCTCCTAGGCTCAGGCGATCCTTCCACCTCAGCCTCTCTAGTAACTGGAACCACAGGCGCACGCCACCACATCTGGCTAATTTTTTTGCATTTTTATGTAGAGACGAGAGGTCTCAAACTCCTGGGCTCAAGCATTTCTCTCACCTGGGTTTCCAAAAGTGCTAGGATTACAGGACTGAGCTGCTGCACCCTACTAGATCCACCCTTTTTCTTCCACTTCTTCTAAGAAGTCAGATTTGAGCAGAAAACATGAGTTGGAGCAGGATGCAGGACCCAGCCCAGCCTGGCTGGGGGAGTGTGAACAGGAAACAGAGCCTCCATAATTTCACATTTTCACTTAGAAAGTGCAGTCAGCATTCTGTGACTTGGTGGAGGAGCTGTGCCAGGCGGTAGGGGAATTCCAAGATGAGGAAGGCTGACCCATTCATTAAGGAAACACCATCTGAGGCTTCTGTGGGTTTTTGTGCTGGGCTCCAGGGACACTACTGACTTAGGCCCCAAGTTCCATGTGGGAAGACAGTGATTGGTGCTGTGACAGAGGAAGCCCAGGGGCAGCACCTCACCCAGCCTGAGTGATGATATGCGAGGAAATGCTGCTTGGAGAAGACAGCTGTGCCTCTCATGGCATTCCAGAGGAAGTGGTGTAGGGAACGATTTTCAGGCAGCAGCAGCAGCAGCAGCAAAAAATGCTTGTGTCAAAGAAAAGATCAAAGATGGACACAGCATGAAGCAGAGATTAAGCACATGGCTCTGGAGTTAGCCTGTCTGGGTTCAGATTCCAGCTCACTTGCTGTATGCTGTGTGATCTTGGGCAGATCACTTCTTGCTCAACTCACCTCTCTGGGCCTCAGTTTCCTCAATTATAAAACTGAGATGCTAAGCCGGGCTCAGTGGCTCAGCCTGTAATCCCGCGCCTTGGGAGACTGAGGTGAGTGGATTGCCTGAGCCCGCGGGTTCGAGACCCGCCTGGGCAATTTGGTGAGACCTCATCTCTACAATAAATCAAAAATCAGCCAGGCGTGGTAGCGCGCACCTGTAATTCTGGCTACTCGGAAGGCTGAGGTGGAAGGATTGCCAGAGCCCAGTGGGTAGAGGCTGTGGTGGCTGGGAGCGGCCACTGCACTCCAGTCTGGGCAACAGAGTGAGACTCCAACTCAATAAATAAATAAATACATACATACATACATACATACATACATACATACATACGGCCACTGCACTCCAGTCTGGGCAACAGAGTGAGACTCCAACTCAATAAATAAATAAATACATACATACATACATACATACATACATACATAAAACTGAAATGATAATAGCACCTACCTCCAAAGATTGATAGAGGGATTAAGTGAGATAAGATAGAACAGTGCCTTCCACATGGGTTACTGTTGTCATCATTCTAATACAATCCAAAATAATATCTGAGAGTACCTGAAGGGGACCTGGGCAGCTCTTCTGGATGCTGGGAAGCTTTCCTGGAGGAGGTGATTCAAATTGGACTTTTTATTGATTGATTGAATTGGGGTCTCTGTTGTCCAGGCTGTGCAGTGGCACAATCACAGCTCAATGAAGCCTGGACTTTCTGGGTTCAGGCAATCCTCCCACCTCAGCCTCCCAAGCAGCTTGGACTACAAGCACATGCCACCACACCCAGCTAATTTTTAAAACTTTTTTTTGTTGAGACGAGATCTCACTATGCTGCCTAGGCTGGTCTTGAACTTCTCAGCTCAAGCAATCCTTCCACCTCACCCTCCCAAAGTGCTGGAATTGCATGCATGAGCCACCATGCCCGGCCTTATTTTATTTTATTTTTAAATATTTAAAATAGAGATGGGAGGCCAGGTGCAGTGGCTCACATCTGTAATTCCAATACTTTGGGAGGAGGAGGTGAAAGGATTGCCTGAGCCCAGGGATTTGAGACCAGCCTGGGCAATTCGGCAAGACTTCATCTCTACAATAAATCAAGAAAAATTAGCCGGGCATGGTGGCGCATGCCTGTAGTTCCAGCTATTTAGGAAAC